AGGATTTATCCCAAAGAGTATCAATGTCTGCATTAAAAAAAGGTCGAGTGACCTATGAGTTGTGTTCTATTAGAATATCATCAAGTTACTTAGCAGAAAACTTAAAAGCCAGAAGGGCTTTTTGTTTTAAGCACAGCATTTTCTAAGTCTCAACTGTGCCTGTGGAATATATTAGAATATCTAGACAAGTTTTATCAGCCACAACTGGTGTGTTGGTGGCAATGATGTGGATTAAAATACTGGCATACACTAATGAGCAGGGCTAAGGGATGACGTTCATTCAGTGTTACACTGGAGAGCAACACTGCATATATTTTCTTCCTCTGAATGTCCATGTGATGAGGACAAGAAAGCCCAGTTTATCTGTATAAAGTTATGGAACAGGGAAGGGGGATCATACCTTTTTATACATCTAGGACAGTCTTACATGCTACATTATGTGGATCATTGAATTTCATTAAAACAATAATATGATATAGTAACTCTACTGTCTTGATTCATATTACTATCATTGCCATTGTTACAGTGCTCAGGTTAGACATATAGGCCTATGTGTGAAAAGTAAAGTTTCTGCTTGAGCCATATCCTCTTTCATGAGCTGTATGTCGCAGATATCCACCCAATTATGGATATGTAAATAAAAATTAACCAGACCAGAAAATTACAGCTTTGGCATATAGTTTCATTCTTAATTAATAGAAAAATCTGGATTTAAACTCAGACTTTGAGTGCCTAGTTCTTTCTTCCCAATCTTTTTGCTCCATAACTTTTTTTTTTTTGTAGAATGGTCATCTATGAACTAATAGTTACTGATAAATTGCAAGGATTTCTAGAAAATTACTGGAAATGACAAGTGAGTATGTCTCTGGATTTTTCTCTTGGTGAGTTGTGCAGGGCATAATGAGTAAAATCCTGAAGGGAACTACCCAATACTCTGCTCAGGGAATGAGGTATTCCTGGTGGGAAATCACAAACTAAGTAGAACTTTGAGTCTCAAAAGAGACAGTGTTTATATCCATGCTACATGATATAAATACATGTTCTGTTACTTCTACCCTAAAGGGACTCACTCAACCTGAAAGGTGTCACCAAGGAGAGAATAACTTTCTATACTTCTCTGATGGTTATTATTGGTTGTCAATTTGACTGTAATTGGAATGAACTATAATCCAGAAATGGAGGACACACTTGTGATCCAGATCTTGAGGCAGGATGATACATGCCTTTAATCCAGATATTGAGGCTAGAAGACATACCTTTAATCTGGGCCACACCTTCTACTGGAAGCCTATATAAAGATAATGAAAGAAACAAGGGTATGATTTTCACCTCCTTCTCCTTGCCTCATCATCACATCCATTCCTTCTTTGGGATGCCAGCATACTAGCTGAGACACCCAGCTTGTCTGACTGAGCAGCTACTAGATTCTTGGACTATCCACTCATAAGTAGCCATTGTTGAACTGCAGCCTGTAAGTCATTCCAGTTAGTTCCCTTATATAATATATAAATGTTATACATCATATATATTCATTCCATTAGTTCTGTGACTCTAGAGAATCC